GGGGGGGGGGGACACATTGTATAAAATATAAAGGGTTACTTTTTTGAGCTCATATTTTTGGAATTTAAATAAGCCAAAACTAGAAATGATTTATGTGAGTAGGTTGAGACTGAACTCTTCCATGGATTGATATTAAAGGAAAGGCTGTGGACTTAGAAGCTTGATAAATGAAGGTACACTTCTGTTCTGTGTTAACCTGGAATGCTTAACCTGTATGTGTAATTTTTAAGTGTTTTACTTAGTTAATAAAAAAAAATTTTCGGGTAAATGACATTACTTATCTAAGATAATAGGGATTTAGCTGTATTTTTCTTTTTGTTATGAAAGTGTCAAGTGTATAGAAAAGTAGACTAGTGAAATGAAACCCTGGCACAGTTACTACAGTTTTTCATATCTGCTTCTCTTGTTTTCTTGAAGTATTGTAAGGTGAGTTGTAGATATTTTGAGTCTAAATATTTATTTTAGAATTTCCAGGAAATAAGGACATTTTTCCGCATTGGCATTTATCTAGTGCCTGTTATTAACAGCTAACTTATTTGAATGGTAAATGCATAAACACAGTACAACATTTTTAAAATATATAGTAGAACAAGTTTCTCTCTTCCCTGTTCCTCCTCCCGGATAGGCAGCCACAGTGAACCGGCGTCCCTGCACCCTCCCAGAGCTGTTCCATACATTTACAAATACACGTGGATGTGTGTTTCTTTTCCACAAGTGGTAGTGTTCTGTGCAGACTGCTCCCTACCTTTATCCGTTTAACTCTGTTCCGTATAGCACTGTGTCTTGTCTTGGATTTTGTTCTACCTGGTACCTATAAGGCTTCCTATATACCTGAATGCCACCTGTTCCATTGTTGGATATAGCAGAACATAAACGGCTTATCAGGAGACATTGAAGTTGTTTACTATCTTTTGTTACTAAAAGTCGTATGAATATCTCTGTATATAAGTAATCTTGTTCTTCTGTGATTATATGTAGCATAAATACCTGGAAGTTAATTATTGGGTCATACCTTTGGTTATGCCAGTTTCTCCGACCCTTTGCCAGCTGACTTGCTAAAATGGGAAGGACCTGGTTGATTTGGTCCTGTTTCTTTATCTTCTGCTGAGGTCTCCTCCGAGTATTTTTCATTTGGACGAGAAATTGACTTTCTTTTTCTGTTTAGAAATATATTTTAAACCTTTAATAATTCACATGTGTGGTGGTTCTTAAGTTCTGCAGGTCTCCATGCTAAATTATTCTGATTTTAAAAACAAATTCATTGAGTCATAGAAAGGATCGAGAGTGGAACTGTATTTGGGGTGAAAGAAAGAAATTTGAGCAGATACTCGTTTAAGCACTTAAGTCTCAGAGATGGGTATGACTCTCTTATAATTCAAAGCCAAGATGGTAAATTAAGTTGCTTTAAGAAGGTGCATTGCAGATGGGAGAAGGGCATTAGAAAAATAAAAAAGGAGGTTGATTTTTTTTTTTCTTAATGGAAAGAAGTACTAAAAATCATTGCAAGATTCTTAACCCAAACCAGATTTAGCAGTGTTCCCTCCTTCCCCCCTTTCTCTCTCTCTCTCTCTCCAGTTGTTATAAAATTCTTATATAGTTTTAAACTGTTTAATAGAAATATGTAAATACCATTTATATATATATTTTGTTTGTTTTCCTAACTCTGACACCTAGTTTTTCTTATCATCTGGAGGTAGATTTTTTTTTTAAATATATCTTTATTGATTTCAGAGAGAGGAAGGGAGAGGGAGAGAGAGAGACAGAAACATCAATGATGAGAGAGTCATTGATCGAGCCCGCAACCCGGGCATGTGCCCTGACCGGGGATCAAACCCTAATCGCCTGGATCCCAGGTCGATGCTCAACCACTGAGCCACGCCCGGCCGGGCTGGAGGTAGATTTTTTAAAAATTTTCATAGGACTACAGAAAAGACTTAATATGTACATGTAGTTTTCTTACACTTTAAGACATTTTCTTTTTTGTATATATCTTGCCTTTCATGCTCTTTGATGAAGATCTTTAAATTGTTTTAGAGAACTCTGAATGTAGTATATGATAATTTTAGTTTCAAAGTCTGCATCTTGGAAAAATTAACTAGATTTTATAATTCTAAACTATTTTCTGAAATTTTTTCAACTTCAGATATTACTGATGTACAATCATTATCTGTTCACTTTTTAGACACAAGGTGGTGTACTATACCTACTGTCTGAAATTTTCTTGAGTTTCTTCAACAGCCTTAAGATAAAACAGAACATTATAAACGTTCACTTTAGGCACTAAAACAAATTGTTTATGAAAGCAGATAGTTTTTATAGAGGGATCTAGTTTTATTTGAAGGGAATCCAAGGGGTTTTCACAGAGAAAATAAAATAATGCATAAAATAATGCATTTTGCTGCATTATTAAAATTTTTTGTTTGGAAATAATTTCAGTTTTATTAAGATTTCACAAGAATAATAGTACAAGAAACATCCATATACCCTTTACCTGGATTTACCTATCATTAACATTTTATCCCATTTGCACACCCTCTCTTTATATACGTGTGTGTTTTCCTGAAATATTTGAGGCTAAGTTACTAACATCAAGACACTGTACCCCTAAATACTGCAATGTGCTTTTCCTAAGGATAGTGATAATCTCTTTTATATAACTACAATACAGTGTAACTTCAGTAAATTCAACTTTAATAACTTAACATTGGTAAATACTTCTACCCAGTCTGCCAGTGGCATTTCAGTTTGTCATCTGCAGTGTTTTTCTCCCTCCAGTTCAGTGGTCTCAGGTCAAACATAACATTTAAACATCGTGGCTCCTTAGCCTCTATCCAGGAGTGTTTCCACAGCCTCTCCTTGTCTCTTTAGAATGCGGGTATTTAACCACTCCTCCCCCTTTCATCAGAACATTACTCATTTCCATTTGGGGTTTGATGATTCCCCATGGTACAGGTTGTACATTCTCAGCTAGAATGTTGCTTGGGGGACGTGTCCTTCCTAGTGTATTTCATGTGCTCATATGCTCATAGTCCTTTTTTAATGGTGATGTTACATTATATATTTGTGCAAATCACTTTTTGTAAATTTGGTTGTTTATGTTTAGAAGAATTCAGTGTCCATCAAGGATGCGTAAGAGCAAACACACATTTTCTCTTAAAGGAGGACACTTAGATTAATGTTTCCAGTAGGGAAAATCTGATTTGACTATAAGGCTTGAAGTAGCACATTTTAGCTGTATTCCTTGGAAAGCTCTTGATGTTGTATATGGCATTCACTCTGCCCTGGGTTGCCAAGGAGCATTACTGATATCCCCCTTAGGATCTGCCAGTCCTCATTCCGGTGAAAGAATAAAAGCAAGTAGGTGACATTAGACAGGAAGAAATGCACAAAACAGAGCTATCTCAGCTCTAAATCTCTTTGGTATAATTAATGCCAAATCCAAATTATTTTGTAGTCTTTGTTTGGGTTTGTGCTTGTATTTATTAGAGTGTTATATGGAACAAACATGGAACTTTCAATTATGTTGACTGGAAAGAATATTGAAAATTCTCAAAGAAATGGTTATGTCTTTATCTTTTGGTTATTTAAGGAATTTGTTGCTGTTAAGTAGATAGAAATAGTTTTGTGAGTAGGAAACTTTCCTAAATACTTTTAGTATGTTAGTTTCAGGGTATATATAAAGATTTTCAGGAAATAATGGATAGTTATTTTAAAGAAAATAGTCATTTTGAGTATTTGAAATTAATGTGACTTTTGCTGAAAACTACTTGTAGTATCAGTAGTAAGATGGTATAATGCCCTCTAAGAAAGAGCATTAGTTTAGTTTGCAGCTGTTGCAGAACATGGTGAATCAAGACTTTTTTTAGGGCATGATCTTACATTTAATCTATTTACTTTGATTATATATGAATATTACATATAAAATATGTATTTCCCATGTACTGTAGACATCAAAGCATTTGAGATACGAAGTTAGCTGAATATAAAATAATTTGAATTCCAAAGTGCCCATTAAATTTAGCAGTTGAACTTGAAAAATTATTGGATTCATCTGTGACTCATTTCTGCCATTAGCTAATGTGCAGGGTATTAGAAGGGAGAAAAAAAAGATCTCCATGTTCCTTTCAGGTTTGTCTCTTGATTTTACAAAGAAGTGTACTGCCTAAATTGGTGGTACTTTAGAGCCGCTGTTTCTAACCCTTGTGTACGTGTTTCTGAGTTACCGGAGTGTACTAAATGGTACCCTGGGGCCTAGAAGAATTCAGTGTGTCTTCCCAAGTGTCTAACTTAGTTCTTGGATATGGAGCTGTAAATATGACTTGATTGAATATAGTTTTAAAAATTGTTTTTATTTACTTTTACTCCTCAGACAAGACATCTGTATAGATTCTTCTTCATCCGTGAAAGAGAACAAGCAACCTGAAGGTTTGGAATTAAAACAAGGTATGAATCACTGCTTAATTTTTATATAGCATTTACCAATAATAAATTTTCACAGTGTTTCAGCTTACCCCTATTTTACAGATAGGTGACAGAAAAATGTATTTGACCCAAGATCCAAAGAGTAAAGCATACATCCTTTACTTCATGAGTCCTTTAGCCCCTGGAGAAGTTCTGCCTTGTGATGTATAGTTACAGACGCCAACTGGAAGTTGTCATCTTAACCAGTGTTAATCTGGCAATCTGTGTTATATATCCTTAGCTCTAAGATACTAGAAATATGTTAACTACGTAGCTTTGAGTTATATGTGGGGAAAAATAAGTCTTAAGGGATAACTCTGTTGTTTTTTTGCAGAGATCTTTTTTCCTTGTTTATTTTCTGCCTTATTTATTGTTTTATATACAGTAGCTTTATGTCAGTAGTTTTTGACATTACCAGTTACACAGAGTGGCAGTTTGTGATTTATTCAAGCCAAGTAGACCAGTAGGGCTAATCTTGTAGATGTATATTTTTTGTTTGTTTCTTCTCACCTTAAATGGGGAAATTGAAAGTAAAATAAATTTTTATTAGTTACTCAAAAAGCACAGTTTTCCTTTTTCCTGCTAAAATTACTTCTGAGCAGTGATAACCTGTTGTAGCCAAGAGGGTTGTGTTATTACATAAGCAACTAATATTTAATAATTTAGAATAGATTCTCAAAAACTTGAGTTATAGGAACTTACCTGGTAGAAGCAGGTTATCAATTTATTTAGGCAGAACTTTTTTTTTAACTGGTCTTTGTTACTAATGTTTAATTAACAAAGTGAAAAAAGTCGGATAATTAATTTTGTGATTCATTCAATTTATATATAGAGAGAACAAAGCCTAGATATTCTGTAATTCTAACTTATGTACAGGGGGCGGTTTATAAATATTTCTGATGGTCTTGAGAATTCCAGTGCTTATCGGAAGTCCTGTTTTGTTAGCCTCTTGAATAGCCAGATGGAATTATATCTTTGTATTCTGACTACTTCTGAGTAACCCCCACAGACATAAACATTTACATTTCTTTGTCATCTATATATAATGCTAAGCACACATAATTTTTATAAAATGTAGTCACAGTCTTACAGCTCTTATACCATTTATATATATAATTGGTCAGCATTGCTGTTGTTTCTGCCTTTGTTTCTACTCTTTGCATCCGATGAGCAGGCAGTGTGGAGGTGATGCTACTAGACCATCTGTGGAGAAAAGAATGTTGCGTAAAGGACAGAAAAAACCTAGGGCAGGCCAATTCTAGGGAGAAGGGAAGGGAGACCTCATTGCACAAGGCAGCCAGTGCTGCCCTCGAAGGGAAGATGTTTTCCTGCTTCCATGTCAAGCACCTGGAGCTCTTTCGAACTCCTTTCCCAGTGTCAACAGCCTGTTTTGCTTTGATTTTCTTATGGTAACTTCAGTCATTTGAAACCCAGCCGTGGAGGCAGAGAGGGAGAGAAAAAGGACTCAGAGTAGCCAGATATCACAAAGCTTTTACACAGGAGGTTTGATAGACCACTCTTCCATTCTCACTGAGCAGCAGAACCATCAAGAACACACTGTCGTCAGTAAGTGACAGCAAGCAGAGGCGGGAAAGCATGAGATCAAAGTACAGCAGCGCCATTGTGCAGCACGGCGCATGTTGTGACTAAATCTGTAGGAAATGGTTAAACTGAGTTTCAGCGCTTTTTAAAAGGAAGTAGGGAAATAAGTAGTCTTTCAGAAAAATAACTAAAAAAGTGGTTGAAATATAAAATGTTTTATTGCATAACAGGGTAAACATAAATTACATAGACGATTCAATTACGTAGAGCATGTTCCAGATAAACATTTGTGTAGCTGAAATCTGAACCAGCTAATAAGTAACTTGTGTGGAAATAGAAATTCTGGTAGGCTCAATAAAGATTATTGCCTTTTTTCTAAATGAATTATGTGGCCTGTTTTTAATATGCAAAACTTTCAAAATTGATTTAATATTTTCTCTAACTTTTTTTGCATAGCTAGCTATTCTTGCTCACAGTGAGCTCAATAAAAACAAAATATAATGCTCCTTGTGAACGCATTGTCATTTTATTTAGTGGCTTGGCTGTTTAAGAAAATTCATTGACACTTACTTACTATAGTAACCCTTTGTTCACTAGACCAAAGTATAAAGCAGCATTGAATTTTCTCTCTACTCTTTCACAGTAAAATAAATCTTACTGTATGACCTATTTATTAATGGTGTATGATGCTGACAGGTTATTTAAATTACATTTTTGGTTTTTTCAGCTTCTAAAATACTCAAATATTGATAAGTATTAACTGTGAGTTACTTAAGTTGAAATTGACATTTTGTTTAATGCTGGTTTCATTCATCTGGCTGAGGAATGCACATTTATGAAACTGCTAAAGATTAGTATCAGATTTTACACTAACTTCTATCACTTTTTTTTAATGAACGAGAGTTGATATTTTACAGTGTGGTCCATTTATTTATTTATATTTATTAACTATATCTTTATTGATTTCAGAGAGAGGAAGGGAGAGGGAGAGAGAGAGATAGAAACATCAATGATGAGAGTCTGATTGGCTGCCTCCTGCACACCCCTGACTGGGGATCGAGCCCAAAACCTGGGCATGCGCCCTGACCAGGAATCAAACCCCGATCTCCTGGATAGTAGGTCAATGCTCAACCTCTGAGCCACTTCTGGCCTGGCTATCACACTTTAATAAAAGATTAATATCTGAAGATTTACCTTCCATGTGCAAACATTATTTAAATATAAATATAACCTACTGGTTGATTGATAGGTACTGCAGTAAAATAGAAATTCTTCTGTTGAGGTTATTTTCCTGAGTCATTCATTTTTAGCAAGAGGTCAGTTGTAGAAGAAACACCAAGTATAGTTTTGCTCTTTATCTTTAGCACAGCTGTGTTTGCGTGCACATGCACATATACATATGCAAGCCTGAGATATTATGTTAATTTCTGGAGGATTTCAAGCCTTGTGTTATTGAAAAGATTTAGCTCTCCTTTTAAAATAACAGTGGTTTATATAAAATTTCTAAATTAGTTATTTGTGGTGTTGTTAACAAAATAAAAACTGATATTTGTCAAAGGTATTAAATTTGTAAAAAGTATTTTTAAAATATCAAATCTCTGCTAATACTAATGAGTTTTTCTATATATGTATCTATAAATAAACTTGCTTAAGCCATTCAGTAATATTAAAATAATGGTACAGCCCTAGCCAGTGTTGCTCAGTGGTTAGAACGTAGGCCTTCAGGTCTTGGGTTTGATTCCCTGTCAAGGGCGAGTACTGGGTTTCAGGTTCGATCCTGGCCCTGGTCGGGGCACGTGTGGGAGGCAACCAATTGATGTGTCTCTTTCACATCAATGTCTCCCCCCCCTCTCGTTTCCCTTCCCTCCCCCTCTCTCCCTTCGTCTCTAAAAAAGTAAATGGAAAAAATTTCCTGGGGTGAGGATTAGAAAAATAATAATAATGGTCTATATTTAAATTGTTTCTTTAAAGTTTACAGTTGGGGGATATGTGTAATTTTGAAAATTATTCTCCTTTGTAACTTCAAGAATTAAGCCCTTGTCCTTGGAAGTTGTTAGGATAAATTTTTTTTAACTATACATGAGAAATACCTACGTTAGATGTGGGTATTTAGGTTGAAGAGTTGAGATCACTTAAAATATTTGAAGGGCTGTCAAGTGGGAGAGTGATTAGGCTTGTTCTATACTGGCTTCGAGAATGAAAATAGGGCCAGCAGATAAAGTTATCATCTAACTGTTTATTTCCAATAAACACAAGTAACAGAAAATGTAGTGGCTACCTTCGGAAATATGTTCCTGTTGCTGAAGGTGTTTCAACACAGGTTACAGTAAATGGCCACTTGGTGACGCTGTTGTAGAGCTGATTCCAGTCATGTTTGGCTCTTTGGCCTTGATCTTGAAGCTCCTTTCTAGCCCTCAGATTTTGTAAATGCCGGTGCCTAGCACAGTGTCTTCACTTGGGTGAGTGCTTTATAACTGGTTTCTTAGGTTGTTTAATGGAAGCAGAGTGAAATATACAGTATTTTTCTATCTCTACATTTTTTTTTCTATTTAGAGGAAAAGATACTTGATTTAGTCTTTAAGTTGTATGATGGTTCCTTGAAATGCATACGTTTGAATATAATAAAAATACATATGTAACCATATGGTATATAAAATTATCAAAATGAATAAGACATTCACTGCCTCTTACTCTGAATATTCTGCATAGGCTTCTCAGGCAGAGCTCTGCTGCGCTTAGGCTCAAATTTCGCCACTTTTTCTTTTCTATTCAGATAATTATTGGTTTATACAGCTGTTTTCAACCTTTTTCATTTCATGGCACACATATCTAGTTACTAAAATTCTGTGGCATACCAAATAATATATTACATTTTTTGTCAATCTGGCCAAAAAAAAAGGTATAATTTTGATTCATTCTCACACCACCAGACGGCTGTTGCTGTGCTGGCTGCTGTCATTTTTTTATTTGACAGCCTAAGGGAAAGGGGTCATTGCCCCTGACTAAATAGTCAGGTATGGCATGTTTTAAACATTCTTGCAGCACACCGGTTGAAAATCTCTGGTTTATAACATTATGCTAGTTTCGGGTGTACAGCATTGTAATTTGACATCTTGTGTGTGTGTGTTTTTAATGTAGTTTCCTCCTACAGTTATATTTTGGCCTAGTTCACGAGTCAGTAAATTATCTTTGAGAATTATCTTCTTAACAAGAGCTTCAAGAAATAGAAAAGTTGACTTTAATAGGGGAAAAATGTTTTCAGTGGCTAAACTATGTGGTGAAAGTTTAGAATAGGTATTTTCTTTGGACTTCTTCCAACTTTTCAGAGCACTGGTCACCAAAGTAGTATACACACTCCCAGAGAGTGAAGAAGGAATACACCAGAACTTCTAAAATAAGTAAATAAATACAAACTTACATATTCAAGTCTTTTCCTGTTA